AATGGCCTTCTCCCCAGTGCTCCATCATTTGATCTCCACAGCTTATCACCACGTTACTGCTTCATTTCCTACCCCAGTATGTTGCTTACAAAGTTTCTTCTTTGGCTTCATTGACATTAGTTTCCTCTGGTTGTTTTCCTCTTCTACTGAATCTGAAATACTGATGTTCTCAGGATTTATCCTTCTAATTTTCCTCTTTTCCCTTCCTGGAAGATTTCATCCATTCCCTTGCCTTAGTTACCTTCTAAGCCTAGATGATAATAAAAATACCATCTCTATTTTTGCCCTTCATCCTGAATTCTACACTAAATTGTTTCACTTAACAAGCATTTAATAATCTTGCCATCTTCCTTCACAAACCTAGTCACCTGTTGTGTTCTCAGAATCAGTTAATGACATCACCATGTACCAAGTCCCAAATTCTTTTCTCTGTTCCTTTAGTCATTGGGCCCTGTGATTCTTCCTCAGAAATAATGTTCCTCTAATCCTGCCCTCTCTTACACATTTTCACCGTTCTCTTTGCCACCAAGCTATTCTCTCTCTAGCCCAAACCCCACATTGCTTCCAGAATTATTTCCTAAAGGGATTATAGCATTCTATATTACATGAAATTTACTACTGTCACTTGCCAGAGGGGTATACAAGGCCTATCACAGTCTGGCCCTGTAATGGGCATTCTTTCTCCTTTTGGCTGTCCAGTACCCCATCCTCTCTTCAATTTGTGGAGGATTCTGTGTATGGTATTAGTGAGAGACAGTTCTCCGCCTCCCTCTGCAGAAGTTTAAGGGTAGAGATCCCCCCTCTTCTCTCAGTAGCCAGGGCACAGGGACCTTCATGTAGGACTTGGAATCTGATAATAAAAAGAAGGAAGAAGAGTTGAGAAGACACTCATGGGCACCCACAATGGGGTGATTTTTGGTTTCCCTAATACCAAGCTCTTCCCATTCTCAAGCTTTTTTTTGTATTCCATTTCCAGAACAACTGAAATTTGGTCACAATCTACTTTATTTCCTACTATAATCTCTACTTAGTCAAGGCCCAGGTTAATATCCCTTTCTTTCATGAAAGCTTAGCACATTAACCTCAGCTCTTCCTACTTCTTTCAACATGAAGGGGATCAGGATATGCCACCCCCCAAACTGAAGGCAATTAAAATCATCAGATGCAGGAAGAGTTCTCTGTCCTCCTCTAAACTGTGCAGGACATACATTTCCCTTTGTGAAGGTGTTTCCTTTTGTACCAGGGAGTGAAGAGCAACTTATCATCAGAGATGTAGAGTCCACACTGAGAGGAGTTTGCATAAACAGACCTTAATAAAATAGGCCTTTTCTTCCATTAAATCTCTCATATATTCCTGATTGCTTCCCACAATTTATCATCCCTTGAACCAAAAATCCTTTTTCTTTGGTAAAGGGTATATAAGCCCCTGAGTCTAACTGCTTCTTTAAGATTTACTTCTTTTCTCTCTGGCCAGTGTAGCTCAGTTGGTTGAGTATTGTCCCACACACCAAAAGGCCACGGGTTCAATTCCTGGTCAGGGTACATACCCAGGTTGTGGGTTTGATCCTCAGTTGGGACATGTGTGGGAGGCAACCGATGGATGTTTCTCTTTCATATTGGTGTTTCTCTCCCTCTCCTTTCCTCTCTAAAATCAATAAAAACATAAAAAAAATTTACTTACTTTCTGTGCACTCCTGTGCACATAAATATTAATAAAAATTATATGCCTGTTAATCTGTATTTTGTCATTTTTTGGTTTTTTTTTAATGTTTTTATATTGCCCTGGCTGGTTTGACTCAGCGGTTAGAGCGTTGGCCTGCGGTCCAGAGAGATCCGAGTTCAGTTCCCGCTAAGGACATGTACCTCGGTTGCAGTCTATCCCGGGCCCTGGTTGGGTCATGTGGGTGGCAACCACTCGATGTGTCCCTTTCACGTTGATGTTTCTCTCTCCTCCTCTGTCTCCCCCCACCCCCGTGCTCTATCTGAACAATAACAACAACAAAAAACAAAAAAATGTCCTCGGGTGAGGATAAAAAAAAAAAATGAAGAGATATTTCTAAAATAATGCAGCAATGTTGGAGGGTGATGGTGGAAGGACTGAGTAAAATTAAGCAGCAAGACGATAATACAACTAATTCCGCTGGGGGAGACTGGGCTTTTTTCTGAGGAGATATTTGAGCTGAGGGCTGAAGGATGACTATGAGTTTGTTACACAAAGTGATTGTAAGGGAGAGGAAGGGCCATTCCAGAGTAGAGGGACAGTCCGTGTTGGAGTCACAAGTGTTGAGAGGGAAGGGGAAGTTTATTGCCCTACATCATAGAGTTTGGGTGAGAGGAGGGAAAAGGGCTGGAATTAGCCCTGCTGGGTAGTCAATAATCAGATGATCCAAACTTTGCTTCCTGCTTTGTAAGGTGTTTGAATTTTCATCTGTGGGCCAATGGTTTTTAAACTGAGCTGATTACCAGGCATACCTAGGGAGCTTTTTAGAGATCCCAAAACTACCCTGGCCAGTTTGGTTCAGCAGTTAGAGCGTTTGCCTGCGGATCAATGAGTTGCAGGTTCGATTCCAGTCAAAGGGCATGTACTTTGTACCTTGGTTGAGATTCATCCCTGGCCCTGGTTGGGGTCATGCAGGAGCAGCCACTCAATGTGTCCCTTTCACATCGATGTTTCTCTCTCTCTCTTCCTCTCTCTTTCTCCCACTCTATCTGAACAAAAGTGGAAAAATGTCCTTGGGTGAGGATAAAAAGAAAAAAAAGATCCCCAAACTGCACCTTCAGAAATTCTAACCCATGGAGCTCAGGAATTAGTTTGAAAAGCCCCTGGGGTCATTCTGCTTGCTGAATCAAGGTGCTTGCTGAATCAAGGTTTGGGGCAACTTCCTTGGCAGAAAGGCAGTTACTGTGCAGGACCTCCTTCAGGTTTTTGATCAACACTTAAAAAAATTTCAACCCCTCTTCTTCACCTTTATTTTGTTGTGGCGCGAGAGAACCGAGACCACCATGGCCAAATTAAAGCCAAACAGAGAGCATAGCCAGCCGGAGACTGATCCTGAGTTCTCGGGGACCAGCCCTGGGGCCTCCACATGTTGTGGTGCTACAGAGTCAAAAAAGACCACTCAAGAGCTGAAGTCCAAATAAGAGCCGTTTAGCCCTGGCCGGTTTGGCTCAGCGGTTAGAGCGTCGGCCTGCAGTCTGGAGAGACCCGGGTTCGGTTCCCGCTAAGGGCACGTACCTCGGTTGCAGTTTGTCCCCGGCCCTGGTTGGTCGTGCGGGTGGCAGCCACTCGATGTGTCCCTTCACATCGATGTTTCTCTCCTCTCTCTCTGTTCCTCTCTCTCCCTCCCACTCTACCTGAACAAAAAATGGAAAAATGTCCTCAGGTGAGGATAAAAACAAACAAATAAGAGCCGTTTATTAGCCAGCCAGCGTCTGATTCCGAACACCTCTGTGACAGAGTCTTCGACATCATCCCCGATATGCTTTATTACATGCCTTTTATACCTTATAGCAAATAGGATCTTCTTGATATAATGCCCAGGGCCACAGCAATGCTGTATGGAATTAGTTTGCCTTACGGCTAACAGGAACACCCAGGCCCACCCAGGAACACCCAGGCCCACCCAGGCCTACCCAGGCCCATCCAGGAACATCCAGGTATTTCAAGGTACATTGGGTCACTCTTAGCCCCGAGCTGCACAAACACAATGCAAGCCTAATTCCTTAAGATTGTGGGGGAGGTCCAGTGTCTGATTCAAGACCTCCAGGCTCCGTGGACTCTGTCAAACATGTAGCCGGCTCCCAACAACTTCTTGGTTCAGGGAGTATTCCAATTTACTGAGGTTATTTTGACTAAACAGGTTTAGTTAGAGGGCACACAGTGACTTCCCAATCATCAATTATAGAGCAGCACAATAATTTACCAATCATCAATTATGGGGTTATAAACATGCCAGCACAATTTATTTATTTATTTTTACCTAAATGCTTATCTTCTAACATACCATTTAGTTTACTTACTATATATGCTGAATCCATTCTTTAGGATGTAAGCTGAACAAAGGCACTGGATTTTTGTTTAAAATAATTTTTTTTTCTTTGACTTTTGGAGAGAGAGGAAGGGAGAGGGAGAGAGAGAGATAGAAACATCTATGCATTGATGGTTCCTTCTTGTATGTATCCTGACCAGGGATGAAACCCGAAACCTTGGCTATCAGGCGCTCCAACCAACTGAGCTATCTGGCCAGGGCTTAAACTTGTAATCTTGATGTTGGCAGTTTTTTTTAAAAGAAAGAGGGAGGCAGTTGGGGGTGGGGGAGAGGGCCTCAGGTTTATTCTTTATTTATTTATTTTCTTTATTGATTTGAGAGAGAGAGAGGGAGAGGTAGACAGAGATAGAAACATCATGAGAGCGAACATCCATTGGCCGCCTCCTACATGCCCCACACTGGGGATCTGGCCCACAGCTTGGGCATGTGCCCTGACCCAAAATCGAACTGGGGATCTCTTGGAGCATGGGTCAACGCTCAACCACTGAGCCACATGGGGGGGGGGGGCGAGCAAGACCGTAGGTTTAAAAAATTACTGAGAATGGAGAAGTCTAGTTTTTCCTTATTTTTAAGTTTCTTTCTGAATTCCACTTCCACGCTTCTGGATACCTAAAAAACGCAAAACTTGTCGACATGTCCCACCTAACCGCCTCCTCTGGCCGTTGTCCACCCATCGGATCCTAGTCCGTGCAGTCCAGAAAACCTGGAAAATTGAACTACTTTTATTTTATTTTATTTTTTTTCCGAATTACTTTTAGGATGGGCGTCTGCCAGGGTCCGAAAGCGACCTAGGCTCGCGCATGCGCAGTAGACAGTCATCAGCGTGCGCGGGAAGCTGGGCCGCGTCCGTTTGTGATTGGCTGCGGCGGTGGACTCCCACCCACCGAAACGCGGCGCTGGGTGCTGATTGGGCAGGCTGCAGAGGCCTTACGCCGCACGGGGGGCAAAGGAGGGGAGGCGGGAAACAGCCTAGTGGGTGTGGGGTCGCGCAGTTCCCTCAGCCAGGTGGTGGAGAGGTTCCGAAATGGCGGTGCAGCCCAAAGAGACGCTGCAGCTGGACAGTGCAGCTGAGTTTGGCTTTGTACGCTTCTTCCAGAGCATGCCCGAGAAGCCGACCACCACGGTGCGCCTCTTCGACCGGGGCGACTTCTACACGGCGCACCGTGAGGATGCGCTGCTGGCCGCCCGGGAGGTGTTCAAGACCCAGGGGGTGGTCAGGTACATGGGGCCAGCAGGTGAGGATCTGGAGGGTGCGGGCTCCGGACGGACCCTGCGGAGTGGGGTCTTCTCAGGAAGTGGGCGGCGAGCGGGTTCGGGCGGGGAGGGCCTGGGTGGGGACGTAGGTGCCCTGTGGAGAATTGTGTTTCTTTGGCCCCTGCCTGGCTTTGTGGGGCGCCACCGCACCCTGCCCTACCTCCGCCCTGAGTCTGTCCTGCAGCCGCCCCGAAGCCGAACCAATAACAAACACGTAGGCAGCGTTTTACTATATGACTCTATTTAACAGCAGTCGCGTGGGTCTCTGCTCTACATCCCCACCTGGGCCCTGTGAGTCTCATAAGCAACGCCAGATCTCTGTTATAAACACCAGAGATTTAGGATAGAGTGGGTTTGGGAGACCGGTTTATGTCAACAACATCGTTTTGCCCACACGATTTATACCACAGGGGCATGGACTGTGGAGAAGCAGTGTCGCGTAGTGGTCAGGACCTCCTACTCCGTCTGGGGCCAGAGTGCCTGGGTTCAAGTTGCCGCTCAGCCACTTTTTAGCTGTGTGACCGTGGGCTAGTAATGTATGTTTGTGCCGCAGATCAGCATTCAGTGCCCTCTAACTCGGTCCCATCTCATCTCCAGCATCATCTCTCCCTGGAAAGCTACAGACTTCTCACTCTGTGTGGGCTAGGTGTTCTGTAAGTTCTTTTTCCTCCCTGGCTCCATTGTGATAGTGGAAAGAACATTCTAGGGGGAGTAAGGAGTTGTGGGTTTCTCCTCCTGCCTTTGCCACGTGCAAATTGGATATTACTGATAAAAGATGTTTCATTCATTAGGTGGGAATTTCTTGATTGTTGGCATGGCAGCCAGGGTTATGGGACGCTGAACACAGATGAAAAGGCAGTATCTCTGCCTTCACAGAGCTCACTCTAGTGGTGAGCAAGGCATAAATAATTACAATTCAAGGTGAAGAGCATGCTCCGTAACAAATTGTTGAAGAGGCGTAGAGGCAGGACTTCCGAAGACTGGAGACATCTGGGGAGGTATTGTGTGAGAGGCTCAATTCCACTTGAGTCTTGGACAAAGAGTTTGCTGGGGAGAGGGCCTGAAAAGAGGTGGATTGGTATTGCCGAGCAGAAAATGATGAGTGAGGAGAGTGGCCCAGGTAGGTGGGGTCAGATGATGAAAAGCTTTTTATGTTGTGCTGGGATGTTAGAATTTTATGTTGTAGGTGGGCAGTGAGAAGTCTGAAGACTTAATTTAAGCAAAGATGGAGTGGTGTGTTGGATCATTTCTACTGTAGTGTGGAGGATGGGGCAGAAGGGGCAAGAGTAGAGGTGTGGGGACGAGTTAAGACCAGCTAGAGGTAGTGTTATGGGTGGCTTCATAGTTAATGACTGTCTGAATTGCTTTCCACTTTAAAGTGATGATATGACTCCTGTTATTCTAGGCTAGTATACTTTCTATTACGTGGTTTAGAATAGTTTAAGCATTTAAAATGTGTAAAGTTTTAAACATACTTGTATAAATTGGATGACTGATTTTTTCTAAGTACCTGTTAATAATCAAATAGGTTTATTTTTCTGTCTAATTTAGATTGTGAAAGGAATAATGAATGAATGCTAAGCATTACATCATTTATTGGGAAGGAAATTTAGTATGAACATCCAGGAATCTTTAATATTGGGTGTAGATTTTTTTTTTTTTTTTTTTTTTTATCCTCACCCGAGGACATTTTTCCATTTTTTGTTCAGGTAGAGTGGGAGGGAGAGAGAGGAACAGAGAGAGAGAGAAACATCGATGTGAAAGGAACACATCGAGTGGCTGCCATCCGCACGACCAACCAGGGCCGGGGACAAACTGCAACCGAGGTACGTGCCCTTAGCGGGAACCGAACCTGGGTCTCTCTGGACCACAGGCCGACGCTCTAACCGCTGAGCCAAACCGGCCAGGGTTGGGTGTAGATTTTTTAAAAACAATTTTTCCTTTTGTTGCCAGTGAAAGTTAGAATGTTGGTTTTTGCCAAGGATATTTCTAAGAATAGGTAACCTAGACAGTCACCTGGTCTTAATCCTATTGAGAATGTGGTTAAAGGTGATTAGAAGTGAATGTGAGGACCCAGCCAGGTAGCTCAGTTGGTTAGAGTGTTGTCCCAATTAGCTAAGGTTGCAGGTTAAATCCTTGGTCAGGGCACATATAGGAAGCAACCAATGAATGCATAAATAAGTAGACCAACAAGTCTGTGTTTCGTTCTCTTTCTTTCTCTTTCTCAAAATCAATCAATAAATTAAAAAAAATTACTCATTAAAAAGAGTGAATGTCAGTTATTCTCAAGATTCAATTTCTTAATTAGAGATTTATGCCAAAGGAACATTTTAGGTAAAGGATTGTCCTAATATTTATTTGAATAGATTAATAAAGAGTTCTAAAAAGATGGGTAATTTACTAGAAGTTTGCTGAAGTAGCTGAAAAAGGGAAGGGCTCAAAAACAAAAAGCATCTTTGATCTCAAAAGCTGATGCTTTGCAGTTTTTACTGTCCAATGTGAAATGTGACTAAGCATACATATACATACATATATATATACACACATATATATATATCTTTTAAATGTTTTTTAATTGATTTTTTTTTTAGAGAGGGGAAAGGAGAGAGAGGTAGAAACATCCATATGAGAGAGAAACATCGATCAGCTGCTTCCTGCATCCCCCCCCCCCCCCCAATGGGGATTGAACCTGCAACCTGGCCATGTGCCCTAACCTGGATTGAACCGGGACCTCTCAGTCCATGGGATGATTCTCAATCCACTGACCCACACCGACTGGGCTCTGAGAATATACATACACACACACACACACACACATTTTTTTAAATTTATTTTTGTTACAGATGTTTCTCTTTTTTTCCCATTGACACCCTCCTCCCCATTCCCCCCACCCAGTCCCCAGCTTTGTTGTCCATGTCCATTGGTTATGCATACATGCATATAAGTTCTGTGGTTTATCCCCCCACCCCCTAGGGTTGTCAGTCTATACCGTGCTTCCGCGTCTCTGGGTCTACCCTGTTTCTCAGACTGTTATGTTCATTATATTCCACAAATAAGTGAGATCATGTGATACTTGTCTTTCTCTGCTTGGCTTGTTTTTACTTAGGATAATACTCTCCAGGTCCCTCCATGTCATCTCAAAGGATAAGAGATCTTTCTTTCTTACAGCTGCATAGTACTCCATTGTGTATATGTACCACAGCTGCTTCTTTTTTTTTTTGTGGTACGTTCTCCTAGCAGGAACCCAACCCGGGACTCCCTGGTTCGCAGGCTGACACTCAACTGCTGAGCCAAACTGGCCAGGGCTGTACCATAGCTTTTTTATCCATTCGTCTACTGATGGACACTTGGGCTGTTTCCAGATCTTAGCTATTGTCAATAGTGTTGCTTTGAATATGGGGGTACATATATTCTTTCTGATTGGAGTTTCAGACTTCTTAGGGTATATTCCTAGAAGTGGGATCACTGGGTTAAATGGCAGTTCAATTTTTAATTTTTTGAGGTAACACCATAGTGTTTTCCATAGTAGCTGCACCAGTCTGCATTCCCACCAGCAGTGTACTAGAGTCCCCTTTTCTCCACACCCTTGTCAACACTTATTTGATGATTTGTTGATGGCGGCCATTCTGACAGGTGTGAGGTGATACCTCTCTGAGAATATTTTTTATAATGTATGTTGATATAAGGCTGCCAAACTTGTTTCTTGGGAGGAATTCTTACCACACTTGGGTAAAGGGTTAAGAAAACCTTTTCCCTTGCTCCTCTGGAAATCTGATAAGATTAAGAAGGTTAGCTGTGTGTCTAGGTAGCATTGCTTATTGCAAAAATGACCCCAGATTGGTAAATTACATCTGGATTCTAGGAACTATAAATACGTAGCGAAGATCCCTTGCACTCCAAGTTTTAAATTTTGGACCCTTTCACGTTTCCCTACATTCTTTAGCAGTCAATTTTTCCTCTGACTATTGAAAATAGATATCATTAAAAGAGAACTCCCTGGATTTCCTGCCCTCAAAGTTATAACAGGTTTGTTGAGATGTTCACATGCAATACTATTCACCCACTGAAAGTACAGGATGGGGTAAAAGGAGATTTACAATTGTGAGTATGCGAAACAGAGCTTATTCTTGTATTATTTATTAGTTACTGTATTATTTTCCATAGGAACAACTGTAAACCTACTTTAGCCCCACTCTGTATACAGTTCACTGGTTTTTAGTATATATACAAAGTGAAGGAACTATTACCACAATAAATTTTAAAACATTTTTATCACCGCCAGAAAGAAACCCTTTATCCATTATCTGTCCCACCCTTTCTCTCCCATCCTCCCAACTCCGAGCAACTGCTAATCTACTTTCCATGTCCAGATTTGCTTATTCTAGACATATCATAAGCAGTTGTCCTTTGGTATCCACAGGGCATTGGTTTCAGGACCTCTCCCCCATGCCAAAATCCAGATGCTCAAGTTCCTTATATACAATGGCATGGTATTTGAACATAGCCTAGATACATCCTCCTATATACTTTAAATAATCTGAATCACTTATCTAATGTAATGTAAATGCTATATAAATAGTTGTTACACTGTATTGTTTAGGGAATAATGGCAAGGAAAAAAGGTCCGTATATGTTCAATACAGATACAACCTGTTGTAGGAGTAACTGCATAGTAAACATCAGCAACAATATCTTTTTTTTTCTCAAATATTTTCCATCTGAGGTTGGTTAAATCTGAGGATGCAGAACCACAGTCAGAGAGGGCTGACTGTAAATGGAATTATACAATATGTAGTCTTTGTGACTGGCTTCTTTCACTTAACATTATTTGCAAGGTTCATCTGGGCTATCAATATTTCATTCTGTTTTTAAATGTTTTTATTGATTTTAGAAAGAGAGGGGGAGAGAGAAACATCCATGTGAGAGCAAATATAGATCGGCCACCTCCTGCACACCCCATACCTGGTATTGAGCCTGAAAC